AAAGGGGCTTTGTTTCAAATTTTCACACATACAAATAGTTTGAAATCATGTGTTTTTATCTGATTGCTATTGTTGCTAAAAGAACTTGCTTAGGGCTTTTTATGTCATTACTAGACCAAACTGTGCACTGGATATGCGCACAATTTTGTATCTGTATGTTCCTGGATTCCAGAGACAAGTCTTTAAACATGTTTCAAAAGGCTAGTGGATTCCATTTACAAAATTTCCGTGGATTCTACGTACAAAAATTTGTAATGTAAATTTTGTCGGCACATTGGTTTTGTTCCGGATTCCGCAATGTAAGCTGATTCCGCAAAAGTGAGTGGATTCCGCAATTTATGCGGATTCCGCTTACAACCTGTTTTTGTCCTGTTGCGGAATCCGCTTAAAATTCACAAAATGCACAATTTGGTCTCCTAATGGTTGTTGTTGTTGTTCGAGCTGCATAAAATAAATCGGTTTGAAGTCTAGTTTATCGCGAAGTAAGCAATCGATCAGTTTCCTATTTTTAATGAAAATGACTGAAATTTAATCATTTTGCATTATTTGAGATAGCAATACGTACATATTTCTCCTAGCCATAAAACCACCTTTCAAATAACAAAAAATGCATTTTGAAGAAATCCGAAAAAGTCTTAGAACAGCAACCACTCTTGTTTGTTTCAAAGTTAACTTCTTCTGCAACGGAATATTGGAACTCTCAGGAACACATAAGCCTTTTTTGAATCTGAGCTCTTTTTTATCTATTTCAAACATAAATGCGGCATTGAACTTCTAAGAGAAATCATGCGTTTCCAAACCATCTTTAAAGTGAAATTTTTGTTGTTCAGTACTTCTGAAGAAGGATGTGCTAGAATCTCTGCAAAATAATTTTGCATCATTATTCGGTGCATGTTAGCTATAAATGCATAAGGGGCCTGTAAAGTAATTTATTGAAAATCTGCTGTCAATGACTAATCACTTGAAGTTCAAGGAGCTTCTCTGCTTTGTATAAAGTGTACCAATTAGAGCTAGGTGGTTTTCACTTCAGAAAAAGGTTCATGTCTCAAGTTTACCCTTGACACATTCAATCTGTCAAACTCGAGTTTTCTCCAGAATTAACAATCAGTTTGATGATTTTTTTAAAAGTGACCTAGTTTTGTTTTTGATCAAACCTCGTTTTTACAATTGGTGGAAATAATAATTTTTGGGCCCATTGTTTTGTCTTTTTATTTAATCTATTGAGTGAATAAGAAATAATTCGTGCGAACAGGATGATCGTTATGATTGCATAAGTGTCGTGCAGATGTCCTAAGATAATTTGACAGATGAATTGTGCCAATAATAACAGATCATCCAACTGTGACTAGCAGAACCCCGGGTGCCACCGTACAACTACTACCACAACGGCTAATGTTTCAACTGCAACAACTATGTTGTATCTCATATTCTCTCCCTCCCCCTCCATGTACAGTCCTTTTTTAAAGAAATCTCCTGTCCATCAAACTTAAAGATAGATAGCGCCCTCAGTCCCAAAACGGCGCCACTAGTTGGATAATTGGTTATCAATATACTAATCTGTAATTTCAGTTTTTGTCTGCGAGTTATGAGTGATATGGCGTTTGATACATAAAAACTGAATCGGCGATAAGATCATTTGCTTTGTTTATTTTTGTTTCAAATTAAATCAAGTTTTTGGAATGCTAAATTATCATTCGTTCTCTACTCCTAATAAGATTCGAGATTAAAGTTTATCCACTCTGAAAAACTCAGAAATGTTATGAAATATGTCTCGACAGTCTCGGGTTCATTTCATCTTATTTCGACCTTTTTCTTCATTTTTATTGCTAGGCCAATTTTAACTTAGATCTCTCGACTGTGTTCTTTTGTTTGTTTTTCAGGAGAAAGTCTGAAATTTTTCCACGCTTATGATTAATTTTCCGCGGTTTAATTGCTTAAGTTCAATGCAAGTTACAGAAGCATATGAAACTCTCCCATTAAGAAGTTGTAAAGGCCGCGAACAAAAGCGAAAGACTTTGTGTTTCAAAAATTGATTCATATTTTCAGAACTCCTAGCATGGGACCGATCTTTTAGCTGAGCAATTTTGTAGCATAAAATTTAAAAACCATAGCAGAAAAACTTAAAACTACTGATGCATGATTGATTGACAGACGTAAAAAGACGCTTAGATTGGGGTTGAGCTTCACTAATTATGAAATTAGCTCACTAGAACATTTGATTATTAGACGTTCTGATCTAAGTCTTTCAAAGCGTGGCTCTCGATAGCCCCTAAAAATTAGGCCTTACGATAAATTTATGTCATTTATTTAATATAAAACAAGGTTTACAATCAAAATTTTTATCAGTTCTGTGATAATTTACTCTTTTTGTTTTTGTGGAACTTCATATTTAACAAAAAAAATTGCTGGCTCAGTTCATGTTGTCTAAATTTACAAATAGTTGTTTTCTAATTTCAGTTGTTTTACGGTCGTCTAATTTGCTTGTCGTCTAATTTTCTAAGTCCTATAGCGTTTCGCCTTAATTGTTTATCGTTCTAATTTGGCGTCATTTAATTTAAAAAAACATAACTTACACTCAAGCGCGTCGCGTTAAATTCGTTGACATTCTGATTTTGCGTCATTTAATTTTGAAAAGCATAACCTATATCTAGCGCGTCGCGTTAAATTGGGTGCCATTCTGATTTTGCGTCATTTAAGTTTGAAAAGTTTAATTGAGTTCGCGAAAAATTAAAGCTCTTCAAAACCAGATATTCAAGCGATGAAAGGTTGAAATATTTAAAGTTAATTTATAGCGAGCATCACTTTGCAAAAATTTAGGTTTTTCTGAGCAAGTTATTAAAGCTATGAAACTTTGAAATGTTTCGAGTTGTTTCGTAGACCGAATCGCTTCGCGAAAAGTATGAGAGTTTCTAAACAAGCTATTCGAGCGATGAAAATTTGAAATTTTAAAATTGATTTCATAGAGTGAATTACTTCAAGAAATGTCACTTTTTCTAAACAGGGAGATTGGTTTTTGTAGTTGATTCGTTTTAGACTGAACTGAATCTCTAAACGCAAAACTTTTGACAAAAAGTGGGCAGGTATACAGTCTAAGCTTGACGTTCGAGTACATTTTGCTTGAAGATTTTCGGGATTTTTCAGTATGAATTCTAGAATAATCCAGACTGTAAAATATTCGATGGTCGCTCTGAATCTAAGCCGTTCTGATCTCAGCTTATAAAGACGTAGTGCTCGATAGCCCTTAAAGAATAGGGCTTATGCTAAAATGATGTAATTTGTTTAATATATAAGAAGATCTTCAATAACAGGTTTGATCAGTGATCGGATAAATACTCTTTTTGTTTTTGTGTAACTTCATTCTCAGCAAAAAAATTCTGCGGGCCCGGTTTATATAGTCTGAATTTCCTGATAGTTTGCTTCTAATTTCAGTTAATTTACACGGCCCCATAACGCCTCGCCTTAAAACGTTTACTGTTGTTCCGTCTTTCGTTACGAAAGTAACAGAATATTTGTATTCTGTAACAGAAAAATTTTTTGTAACAGAAAGTAACAGTATTTCTGTAACAGAAAAATTTTGCGGGCCCATTTTTTATAGTTTAAATTTACTGATAGTTTTCTTCTAATTTTAGTTAATTTACACGGCCCCATAATGCCTCGCCTTAAAACGTTTACCGTTGTTCCGTTTTTCGTATCGAAAGTAACAAAATATTTGTGCTCGGGGTGGTTTTGTTTTCTTCGACTTTTTAATTAGCCATCATTGAAAAGGTATTGTTGGAAAAAGCTTAAATTTGAAAAGATATTTCACCTGTAATCATTTTTCGTAAAGTTACGGGGGTTTAAAGATTGCCATTTTGGCCAATTTGGGACAGTTAACGCGCGATACATTTCATGCTATTAACGCGTAAGTGGAGATTTAATCTTTCTTAGAAATCGCTCCTAATTGGTTGAAGGAATGTTATTTGCCATAATTGATATGTTAACAGGAAAGAAATCTATCACTTTGAACTTTATATGGAATGTTATTACAGCTCTATAGACCTTAAGAGACAGTCGGAACTTTCAATGCTTCGCCTTGATGCGAGCAGTCTTGTTCTAATTTGGCGTCATTTAATTTTGAAAAGCATAAATTATATCTACCGCGTTGCGTTAAATTATTTGTCATTCTGATTTTGCGTCATTTAATTTAGACAACTTAATTAGATTTTGTTTTTTTTCTGTAACCCAATTGTATTCAGTAACGCGTTTGTCCAACTGTCATTTTTTTGTATTCTGCTCTGATGTAATAATTTTGTCACTGACTTCACTGCTTGTAGGTGTTCTCTGCGCCAGGAGTAGGATGTAGCATTACTCTTTTATTATATTTTGTAATACCAAATAAGAGTGGACTTTGGCATTTTCGCGGATGACTTCTCTTCAAGGATCATATCTAATAAACAAACATCCAATTATTAACTAGACCTCGAGGCTTTAGAAATTGTAATATCGATTTATCAATGAAATCCCAAATGAGACAAAATATCTTACACGTATTTCTGATTTCGAAAGGTACTGAATATCCTTAATTTTCTTTCAAATATGCTGTGATTTTTTTTGTATTAATAGAATACAAGAATAAAATGATTAATTTTTGATGTTGGCATCAATGTTTTTGACCGGAAATAAGAAACTGAATTTACCTTTATTATTTTCGATTATAGCGTGCTGTTGTTAACGATCAGAAGCAGTGGTTAGATTTTTGTTTAAAAAGTTGAGAGTTAGTTGTGTTTCGACTGCCAAACACTTCATTCATGTTCTCCTTTCTTCTCAATGAAGAATTCATTAATGCGTTTAAAGCTACAAAACGTCTCAGCGTAGCAATGTGTTCAGATTAAAAATGAGATTGGGGTGGTTTCTTCTCGTTTAATAACTAGAAGCTCGGTCGACCGGTTCTCGACATGTCCAGTTTTCAGTATCTTTTTCATCTGCTTTTGAATTTGTTTCATCCTTCTTTTTCATTTCAGCAAATGACAATTCTGGACAAGCGTGGCGGCCAAGTGGGCGTGAAGAGGGCGTGTCTGGAGAAGTTCCTTACCTCGTACGTCATGTTCGTCGCCCCCAACTCCACATCCTCCAGGGCACTGACTGAGGCCATAGTGATGTCCAGTCAGATGAGCTCCTCATCGGCGTCGGCCACACACCTCACGAACAGTGGTGGACACTATGGCTCCTCCTCATCCTCCTATTCTTCCAGCAGTGGTTACAACAGTCGATACAGTTCTAGTGATCCCAACATCGCAAGTGACGAGCCAGACAGGCATTCCACTCGCGATGATTCAACGTAAGTTTCTGTAGTACTTAAGGGTGTTACTTAGCCCTTGATTTTACAAAAGCATACAAACAAATAAAAATCATTTAGACCAGCTGAATCAAAATACTAAAGCAATGAATTAATTCCGTTTTTGGGTGGATATTGATCATTATTTTTTTGCATTTTTAGTTTTAAACTCAAACTCTTTTTAGCGTCCTATCGCGTATTAACTTGTCCCTGGTAGCAGGGTTTGCAATGTCTTTCAATGCCATTTGAATACCGGTTTCATCGTCTTTTGTTTTGAATTTTCCCAGGTCTATCAAAGATAAGATCAAAGACTTGTCGAAGCTAACCCTGGACGAGATCTGCAATGGGAATGACAAGCGAGTTCCCTGTAGAAATAACTACCTGGACGGGGAGGTATGCCGCATCCAGTGTTGCAGCACCCCCTTCTGTAACTCGGCCCCCCACTCCCGCCTAACGAACTCACAGTACCACCCTCTAATCAAGTTATCATTAATCCTCATACTCACACACTCCATATTGCAGCAGTTCCTCTTCACAGGAACGGCAATGACGTCATTCTTATGCAACCCCTCCAAGACTGAACAAACCCGAAGTCATACACGAACAACATCTAGAAGACGAAAGAGTGAACAACAGAACACTACTTAATCTCGTTTTTACAGGACTCATGTATTAGATGACATAGACATTGTTTACCATAATATTTTATTTTTGAACCAATTTCTCTCGATTTTTTTTGTTTATTTACTTCAGTTTGTAAATTAGTCCTTTCCAGTTGTATATTGCAGATACTTGCTTGAATTTTTCTGATTCAATAATTTAAAAAGCTCGTTTATAAATTAAATAATGCAAATCACAGCGTCTGAGTTACGGCGATGATGATCATGATTATCAGAGTAGTTTGTCGTATGTTTGATCCATCTAGATCTAATCTAATTTTTTTCTGGTTGCTCTTAGTGCTTTCACTTAGACCGATGCTTTCTTGTGTTTTAAAGAGAACGAATTCGAAGCGTAATGTGACTCTGCAATATGTAAATTTGAATCGTTAATTTGTAAATTCCGTAATTATTAATGAGAGAAATAACTACCTAATTTGAGTTGACCACTATTTTTTGTAATTAGACTCGAATATATTTTATCTACAGGTTTTTTCACAAAATTCCGTTTGTGGGAAGTCTTCCGATGCTGCGAGGAAGTCAAATTTGTGTAATGCTAGCAATGGTTTACTCTAAATGAGTATTTTTATCAGGAAGTACGACAGTGATGACTACTGGATAAATTTAGTGAATGAAAAGAGTTATTAATTTCAGGTTGTTGAAATTAGTTTTGAAATGGGTGGGGTGAACAGCCGGAATGGCATGAATTCTTCTAACAGTAGTCGCATTTCACTCGAGAACGACTTCAGTTCCCATGACGGTCCAGTGTCTGTCTACTTCACAGACAGTGCTATCAATTTACTCACCAACAATACTCCGCCAGACACAAGGCAGAGTCAGAGCAACATAGACCAGTCTATGTTTGACAGAATAACAGCCATAGCATACCAGAGGGGCAAGAATGACGCAAACAAGGTAGGCTAGTCTGACTAACGAAAAATTAAATATTTTTTGTCTGTTTCTATCAGTTATAGCGGAAGTTATTTGTGGCCTTCATGCTTTAGAGACGACCGATAAACATCCTCCATTCTTATTTCTAATTTTCTTACTTCTAATTTTGATTTCATTCGTTGAATTAGCTATCAGAAAAAAGTTCAGTTTTTCATTTTGCAATTTTACTCAAGTGGAGCGTTTTGTTATTTATTTACGAAACCCATTTTTTAAGACGAGCACGAAATAATTTACCAAAGTTCACTATACATAGCGAAGTTTTTTTCAAATATAATTGCATCACATATCGAAGTTCGATTTAATAATCAACGAGACCAGCTGATCTGTATTTTGCTTACCGTGTGGATTAAAGAGTCCAATCAAGATAGGTTGTCAGTAAGCATTTAGGAAAAAACACAAGATACAAGCTTACTTTTTATGGGCTAATGTTGTTCCGACTACTTTCGAAGAAAGTGATGGAATATTTGTGTTCGGGTTTTTTCTCCAGACCAAATTCCATTTATTAACAAGGCCTTTTTGACGGATTTTTTTACCATCTGAAAGTTATTATTGTCTTGAGAGCAACTTTAAAAAGAAATTTCACTTGTTATTTTTTTTCGTAAAGGTATGGGGGTTTAAAGATGCTAATTTGGCCAAATTGGGACAATCAAATCGAGATATATTTTATGCTATTAACGGGTAATCGGCGATTTAATCCAGCTGAGAAATCGTTCCAAATTTAATTGAGGCTTGCCTATCATTCCCAATAATAGGTTTCTAAAGGTTAATTATATCACTTCAAACTTGATTAACGTGTAGGGGATAATGTTCAAAACAAACTCAATTTTGTTTTTTTTTCATAATTCCCGTTAAAACTGAGCAGCATTGTTTGTGCTTACTAAGTTTGTGCCTAAGTTGATACTCAACATTCAGAGTCCTACCTGATATTTTTCTATTTTGAAAATCAGACAGTGAAAACCCCTAGATCTAACAAAGGCAACCTTCAGCAACAACTAAAGTCTTAGTTTAAAACTGAGTTGTTGCTAAAGGTTGCCTTTGTTAGATCTAGGGTTTTCACTGTCTGATTTTCAAAATAGAAAATTATCAGGTAGGACCCTGAATGTTGATTATCAACGTAAGCACACACTTAAGAAATTCACATTCGTACACTGAAAGTAGTTGGTTTTTGAGCCGTCCTAACGGTGCCGAATTTAGATTAAGCTAAAGGTTTTCTTCTGCGAATTGAATGGGGTTGACCTTGGATTAGCTGTAGCATCCATACGTCAGCATACAATTTTGAATACAAGACGTTTTATTTTACGTACGGTTGCAATTAAGCTGGTTTCGAGGCACGATTCGACATGAATTACATTATTTCTAAAGAATTATTCATGCCCAAATACTTGCATACTTAATCTGATGCCTAACTTTTTTCAATTTTGTGTTTTTGGGTTATGCCACTTACAGAAATTTTCTTAACCTCTCATGTTTGAGATGAAGTGCATTCTAGGATGACTGTTTTTGGTTGCGTCAGCAATGAGAAAAATCTTCTGTTTATGGCAAAAATTGGTTACTTCGAATTAAAGGCATCGTTATATTCTCGTATGCATAGGTCTTTCATAGTTTTACGGAATGCATTTTTCACACTTGCGAAGCGAGTGTATTAGTACGAACCTTTTTTTCAACCTAAGTCGCAAATATTGGTGCTAATTTTTGAGCACCTTTACAGCTTTTTGATAGCATGGGCTTTGACTTTCGAATAGTAAAAATTTATTACAGTTGATGCTTTTTTAATTCATCAAATGAACCGAAAAAAGTGATTTGTTTCAAACAACATAACAATAATGAAAACTCGATTTCAGAAATTTTCTATCTCGCAATTTTTTGAAATGCATAATTTATACATAATGTGGCTTTATGTTTTGCGAATTGTTACATGCAAAGTTAGTGTGGATGCCTTCAGTTTGTTTTATTCCAATTTATTACTTGCAAAGTTGAGTCTATTTGTACTTGGTGCCACTTTTGCTGAATAGATTTGACAATTTATTAGCATATGTAGCTGCTTTATTCATGACTAGTGTTTTTTTGTTGTTAAGCTTGCGTGGCTGAGTGGATAGTGCGTGAGAGTCAAATTTTCTTGATTGCAGTATGTCGCAGACTGGAATCCTACACGTAGCCGAGTTTTTGCTAATTCGAGGCTTATTATTACTTTTTCTTATTTCACTTGATAGAGCTGCTAGTGGTTTTATGGTCATATTTTCGCAAGTGTTTGCGAAGCGCAGCTTCGCCTCTGTGTAAAAATGGGGCCATAGTTGTTTTTGATCATTTTTTGTACCATTTTTATGGAAAGGAAAAAAAGTTGTTGCATTTGAAAGTTGAATGAGGAAAACGCCTTCTTGAAGTTAATCATGTCCGTTAATTTGAGAGCAATCATTAGCAGTAGATTGTTCCCATTTTCATCACCAGCAGATATTCTGTTTATCCAAATGAGTCCTTATTAATGAATATCGTTTGTTGGTCTGCTCCTTAAAAAAAGAACATTTGTTTTCCTTTTTAGAGTTATTGGTTCTTATATTTTTGGTTTTCCTGTATATGTACTTGGCCTATATTACTGAAATTACTGAAATATTCAAGAACACTTTTTGCAGAGGTAAGTGGTTATCAGTGGTAGAAGAATCAAGCATAGAAACAAACATTTCTTTTGATATCCTCCCACGTATTTGTTAAAGAAGTTTGAAGGTTTGCTTATTAGTTTTTCGAGCTGATTCGAACCTATTTAAAATATTTAATTTGCTGTCTTATCCAAATTTAATCTAACTGGTTTGTTTTTGTTATTAGTATTTTTGATGTTTCGGAACGATGGGGAAGCGTACTTTTATCACTGCTATTTTCCATTTATGTGAAAACTTGATGAATTGTTCCAAATATACGGCTTGGACTTCGTTAGAGCTCCCCTCGGCGTTACTTGCTGTGATCGATCAGGTCTATATTTGAGTCTATTTGATATCATTTGGGAGTACCTTCGAGGAAAAAATCATTTCAATTGGAGATTATCAGGCAATTTTTTGTTCTATAAAACTTTTACTAATATGCTGTCAATGTCTCTAGCTGCAAACTGATCCATACATGTTTTCGAGTCATTGGCAATACGTGACAAAACATCTTATCAATATTTTTTCTATAGCTTTAGCTGACCAGTTTAGTCTTTGGTGCGTCGATATTTAAATCTCCGCAAACACTAACATGTTTTCATGATTAGAGATTCGAGTAGTGAATAATCTAAACAATCAATGAACTCTTATTTGTTGATGTTGGATGAATTATACATAAGTATTGAAAACTTATGATGAGATTTTGACTGTTATAGCTTTTTCATGAATTGAAGTAGCTCTTCAATGATTTTGCTTCCAGTTATAGCTCCACCCAATACCCTCCGCCTTTTGCACTTAGGCGTATAGTCAGGGTTCAGTAGTAGATACTAAATTCGGTGGAGATTCAAGATAGTTTGTAACTGCGTTCAAGTCTCCGGCATGCTTTTTTACTTTGCTCTGAAAGCAGCATGGAAATAAGTGTTTTTTTTTGTACTGAGTCGGCTCCTGATTCAAGTGACAAAGGAAGTTTATGTTGTTGCCTGTGTTTTCGAGAGTCATTTTCATGGCTGGTTGAGTTCGATTGACTATTGGTAGAACAAGCTGTCGCAAAATGTCTCTTTTCTTTAATTTTGCCGTTATTCTGCCATTGTAGATAAAACTTATTTTTGCCTGAACTGCTGCTGGCCTCTTAAATTTCCGTTTTTAGATAGAACTATTGGTAAAACAAGGGTTTCCTTCATCGCTTAGTTTAAAAAAATCACTTTGCTTGTTAGTATAGTATTGTTTTGTTTATGGAGATGGTGCAACTGGAAGCAATTCGTCAGTTGACGTAACCTGAACTGGCTCCAACGTTGAAGCGTTCGAATTTCGTACGAAGGTTTTTGGTTACTGGTTAAATACTGAAAAGCCCACAATTCTTGTTTCTACATCGACTTTTCTATCTATTGGCAAAGGGTATTCTTGAAAGATAATAACACAATTTTCAGAATAACGATTATTTTTAATCCAGTTTTTTTTTGTTCAGTAAGTTATGTTTGTGTCTCTATGATAGATGAGTTCGTTTTTCAGCGGCCATTTCGATGATGTAACCGTTACTCATGTGATGATGTAACCGCATGATGCAATAAAAATAGAAGTGGAAATTGCGAGACTGGCAAGCTCGGAACAAAATCAGCCCGACTGTATACATCAAACCTTCAGAATAAATCTATGAAAATAAGACAGGAGTTGATTTAAAAAGTGGGCAAGATCTGCTGATATAACAAATTATGATATAAAATGGCGAAAGTGAGTATTACGAAATGTGTTTGCACAAATGAAGCATGCGGACAATGGCCATTATGCGGTGGGTTGGATCGCATAGCTTGTGACCTCTTACTCAAGATTTCAGTTAAAAATCTATTTTCTTCTAAACATTTTTTTTGTAAATTTTTGTTGCATGGCTTAGTCAATATTTAATTGGCGATCAGCTCATCATAATTTAATATTTTATATCATGTTATTGTACTGCAAGACTCTTTGATTGTTGGATTTTTTCGTAGCTGTTTGTAAGACTAAGTATAGATTTTTTTCTGGACTTAAGTAACGAACATGACACGTTCAGTGAGCGTCAATAAGTCCAATTTACGGAACTCAAAAACATGTTGGGCCAAAATTTCTAAAACATCAGGTTTCTTCAATACTGATTTCATTGTACGGTCTTTTCCTGGGGTTCAAGCCTGCTTAGGATGTACTTTTCCTTAGCTTTGTTAAAGTAAAGCGGCTAATGATTAAAGCTTTTTTATTCACTTTTGGTCTGGTAAAAATGCTCAGCAATATTTTGGCATGGGTTGCGAACTAATGCTTAAATGTTTGAAATTTTACTGTTTTGTTCTTTTTCGTTTGATTTCTCTTTGACCTCAAAGGACGTTTGTTCGCAGATTGTAACTGGTAATATCCCAATCCAGTTTTGGTTTGAAAGAGAGCTACTAGGTAAATCAGCGTAATTCAGCCTTTATTGGTGATAAATTCCAAATAAATTCAGCTCTTGATTATGTTTGATGCCATAAACAGGCTGAGAGCGGCAGACGACCTTTTATCTGGTGTTGCTTCGCTGTCGCCGCCTGAAAAGAGTTCCTGAAGATCTATTACTGTTTCAACCTCCTGTCATTTGATGCGCAATCCTTTTTCAATGAGTTGCGAAAATCAAAAATTTTGTTATGTAAGATCTTTTGGACATAATAGAGAACCCGGTCAAAAGCTTCTTTATTGAAGTACAGCTGCATGTCGGCATATTTCGATTGCCATTGTTGATTTCTCATTTTGTTGTTTATTTTTTGTTTTCTGGCTACTTTGTCATTATCTTAATTAAAGCTGAAACCGGTCTTTTTTTAGATTTCTCTAGTATTTTGACAAATAAGTTAAGCATGAGCAAGTAATTCAATGTTCGTACTCTCAACTGGCAAATTCTTTTTTTTTGCATTGTGTGTTTTTGTCTGCGTTCTTTGAATCATCACTTCATTAATAATAGCTTCTTTTTCGGATGCGTTATTTGAAAATAAGAAAAATACTAGTGAAAACTTCGATAATCATGACTTTTGAAAAGCAATCATGATAATTCATTTTATCGGGCGCTGAAAAAGCTTTCGCGCAATACATGCTAATTCGGCTCGCATGTTAAAAGGTATTCTTGACTTTTTTTACCTGTAGATGTGAACTAGAGCGAACAGATTTTTTTGAACATTGTGTCGTAGGAGAATGAGGGTATCATTAGGAGCCAGAAGCACTCGATCAGTCAGCAGTGGGAGACCATCCAGAGCAACCGGAAGAAGTGGTCGCAGGAACTCATAGACAAATACAAGGAGGACCTGAGTGCCGACTTGGACAGAACTTCCAAGAAGTTCTCTTCTATCGACACAGAATTGGTGTGCGAGAAGGAACAAAACGAGATCCTCAAGTGTTACACTGAGAACAAGAATGCGACCTTGAATTGTGAGAACCAAGTGAACTTGTTTGACCTCTGTATTCAGGCGAAGAGGAGGCAAATGAAGAGTCCAGTAACTGCTCCTTCGGAAGATGATGCAAACGTTGAGACCGAGAGATGATCTATTGAGAAGTGTACCTATCAAGGCAGAACAGAACTGAGAACTGATAAATTATGATTGAAATCGTGACGTTGTTTTTCCGAATAAGTACAAAATTGGAAATTCATTGTTTGAATTAGGTTCAGATATATCCAGCTCATGAAAAAAATTGAATCTCATCTGATTTAATTTTTTTGCTCAATGTTTAATTTTTTGTTTCTATTTAAAATATTTTTCAGATTTTGTAATCATGACGAGAACGAGTCGTATGGATTTTAACAGAAAGAAACCCGAGAAGCAGGAGGGCTCTTCTTGGAATGAAATACAGAGAGACGTCTCGAAAGATCACGCCACAAAATTGAAGTCAAAAGAAGGTCAATTCAAAAACTTTCCTTGTAAAACTGCTCTCAAGAAACACTGTTTGAAGTGCAAAAAGCCCGGTCACTTAGTGTCCTGTTGCCCAGAAGGAGCCGACAGAGTTGAGACAATGCTCTGCTTCAACTGTGGAAGTCTGGAGCACACCTTAAAAAGGTGCAGAAAACCCAGAGACGGGAAACTACTTCCGTATGCCACTTGTTTCGTGTGTAACGAGACTGGTCATTTAGCTTCAGCGTGTCATGAAAACCAAAACGGAATTTATCCTCGAGGGGGAGGTTGCAGAAAGTGTGGTTCCAACATGCACAAGGCCAATGACTGCACTGGACTCGCAAAGGAACCAACTGACGTCGAATGGGACGGCGAGGAGAAATTGTTCTTAAATCCTAAATCGAATAAAACTCTGAGGTCTGCAGACGCCGTCGATATTTACGAGTCAACACTAGAGAAAGAAAAGATAACCAAACTCAAGCCAGTCACAACTAAAGTTGTCAAATTTTAAATTTCATTGGATATATTGTTGTTAAAAGTATCCAAATAAGTTTTTTGGTATTTGTTCATATTTTTTCGAGATAGCAAGAGAAAACGACCAGCGATTTTTCACTCTTTTACAAACGAAACACTTAAGATGCTCTAGATGATGCAATGGTTATGTTGCCCCTCAAGTATCGTTAACCCAACTGCTCTGCGAAGAGTTCTCTGCTAATTGGACACAAATTGGCTGGCTAGTTGAATGAATTTTTTGCTGTTTTTATTTTAATTTTTGACACAATAGAAAACTGCTGTTCGTTTTCTATTTGACCCAAAAGAGAATAGTTTTTTTAGGAAATCGTCTGAATGCAAACACTAAATGATCGCTATGCAAACTTAAGCAGTTCGTAAACAGATAGTAAATTTTATTTGAAAAAGATGTCATTGCAGCTTTCACTTCGCTCACGAAAAAATATACGTTTAATTTTTTTGCAGAAAAAATGAACACTCGATTGAAATTTGGCTACATCAACCGTAAATCAGACTACCCTTTTGATTTATTGGAACAATAATTCTGTATTATTTTATCCACTGAGGTCTTGGGACGTAGTGACTTAGTTTTTATATAATTCCACACTGCTTACTGCGTCTCTTTTTGTCCCGACTTTCGAAGAAAATGGAATATTTATGCTCGGTGTGGTTTTTTTATTCAGTCAATTTTCACCGATCGAAATAATGATTTTCAACAAAATTTTTTATACCTCATTAAAGATATCAACTTCCCTAGTTCAAATGCAAAAAGATATTTCACCTTCGATTGTTTTTTGCAAAATTATTGGGGTTTGAAAATTGCTAAGTTTTATGTTCTGGGCTAAAGTATGCGGGCTTTGAAGAGTTTTTTCATAACGCTCAGAGGGTTACGCAAATTATTTATGCGTGGCGAATTATCCCGCTCAACAAAATCATTCCAAATTGAATTGAGGCTAGCTAATTGGTCGTATTAATTTCGTACGTTTCAAAATTTTACACATTGATGTCCAAAATTTATAGGTTTTCAATATTTTTCCCCAAAATTTGTTCGATATGAATTAAGGGACAGTCGAAACATTCAGGGCTTTGCCGTGATGTACGAGCTGTCTTGTTCGCATCTCAATTTGAAAGTGAAATGATGATTTAGAACCAATATGAAAACCTAGGTTGTATGTAAATCTGAGACAAATTACGATTAAACCGACAATTGGACGCTCATTTTATATTCATTTGATTGGTTTTATTAATAATTATGACTTATTTGTTGGCGTGAAGCCAGCTGTCAAGGTTATTAATTTTTTTTTATCTAACGCTTGTAATCTGGTAACCACTGGCCTTTAACTTAGCGTCGTCAGCAAACAGAATGACTTCAGCTGATTTACATATTTAGGGAATGTCATTTACTTCAACAATTAAAAGCAAAGGGCCTGAAATAAAACCTTGTAGTACATAGCAAGTCGTTTTTGAATAACTTTAATTCGGCCATTTAATTAAGATTCAAATTAATTTGATTAATCAACTGGGATACCAAAAGTTTCGAGTTTATCAGAAGTAATTTATGGTCAAGAGTATCAAAGTATTACTAAGATCCAGTAAGAAAGTATTTATTTCAAGTCGGGATTCGCTCATTCTTAATTGTTCGGTTAGTTTAGCTACAGCATTAAATTACTCGTTGAATAGCGATGAGAAATTGTTACAGAAAGTGTAAACTCGAAGTGCTAAAAAATGCTTTAGAGGAGTCTTCGGCGTTGGCTGAATTATTTTTTTGTGAAAATTTTTTTCTTGACTGAGATATTGTGCTTTTTATAGTTATTTTGTTATTGGGTTTTATTTGGTGATTTTTGGCAAAACTTTTCCCGAAACGTAAAATTTACAACAACAAAAAACATAAACTGCACAGAGACGAAGTTGTGCTTGGAAACACAAGCTAATAAGAAAAGAAATTTATACTATCTCACTAATGAAAAACTTGAAAAATTAGTCCACATTTCTCAATTGCCCCACACGCTTTATAGCGTACAAAAAGTGGTATATTTGAATAAAAAGCTTGAATAAAACAAAATTTTGGTGCCCTTGTATCTTTGCTTCATTATTCCAGCTTCCATAAAAATTAGTGGAGCTTTTAAGCTTGATGTTTTTTATTCAGACCAATTTCATCATTTAATTAAACATTTTTGATGGATTTTTTTATTATGTGAAATCAGTGCCTTGAGCTCTAATTTTTGACGTCATTAAGGTTTTGATTGTTTTTGTGAAATAATATTGCTTTAAAAACTGTCATTATAGGATAAATAATGCGCGCTTTTTTTGGATGAAAAGGAACATTAATTATCAAAACTGAAAAAGTTCGAAACTTTCAATTATGAAAGCTCAATCAATGAAAAATTTTGCAGTTACCTCAAAAGCCAGTGATAGTACTCAAAGCTTTGCTCTGACAAAAGCACTCTTATGGCAATTTCGAATGGTTTCCGAGCCGGTTTAATTCGACGATCAAAGACCGACTTTTGACTAAATTATTTTATAGACTGAAAAAACAATGTTTTTGCAACACATATTGTAACCAGTACTTGTTTTTCCGCTAATAATAGACGGATATTTGCATAAATTATTGTCTGCTTCAAGGTCTATGCCGCGTTATTTATGATTTTTCGTATGCCTCGTAGCAATACACAAGAACCTAAATAACAGTCGAGTGATTGCGATACAAAGAAAAAAAAACTTGAAAGGCAAAGCTACCCTTTACAGAGTGTTTTCGAAGCTTTTTTTATTACTCTCTCATTTCACAAATATAGGTTATTTAAGTGATTCTTTCGATGATGCGGAATAAGGATGATGCATTTTTGAATTGGGTTGTTTTTTGGTGGCGCATGCTTTTGGGATTTAATGAATTTTGCGTTCATTTTGTTCTTAACAAAATACTTTAGTGCTGAAATTAAACAACCGTATAAAATAAAGTGAAACAAAATTTTAAAAACCATTTTTCAAATTGGGTTGTTTTTGGCCAAAAAATGATGAGAACAAATATTGCTTAGAATTTTAGTAGCTTCTGCGTAGTGCATTTCTTTTTGTGAACTTTTGAACCAAACTTACACCCTTAAAACGGGCCTCCTGATTTGGTTCAAAATTAGGGACGTAAGCAGTGTCAATTGTTGTTATTATTATATCAATCGACCCTGTTCACCTCGTTAACTTTGAACCACACCTGAATTCACCCGTTTTAAGGAGGAAATTTTGTCTTAATTATTTATGGCAATACCATTTGTTGCGCTTATTATGACACTTATTTATGACAAAACTATTATCTAATGATATAAAAACTGCCGTTTTAAAACAAGAGACCCGATTTGTTTCAAAGTCTATTTAATCTTTAATGTGAGTCATTTTAAAAATGGAAATCTGACAAGAATCTCAGACGATTTTTTTGAAAACACTATTACCAAGTGATCAACATAGGTCTCCTGAGTAGAAAAACTGTTTCAGCTGCTGTATAATATTAGATAATAAGTTTTCGCAAAAAATCGAGCATATTTATCCCAATTATTTACATTCGTACCTCGGATGTTAAGTTGTACTCTAATTGGGTCTCGTCTTCGTGGGTTTTGTTAATTGAAAAAATAAGCTAAAATTAATAGGTTAAATTGTGAACCGTTTTTTAAAAACAAAAGGACCTTCTGAATCAAACCAACCACTGTTAAGAAGATTTCAGTGTCTGGAAACCTTTGTAAATAAATGATTTAAATGCAAAGCACAATTTTCAATCAAAAATTGTTGTTTCGACTTACGTAACGAAAGTAACCGAATATTTGTGCTCGGGGTGCGTTGTTTTTTCTTCAGACAAATTTTTTAACCGACTTTTTAACTAGCCATTTTTGACGGAATTTTTTTATATCATTCGAACGCTATTGTTGTCTTGAGCTTCAATTTGGAAAGATATTTTACCTGTTTTAATTTTTTCATAAAACTATGGGGGTTTAAAAAATTGCCATTTTGGACAGTTTGCGACAATTTACGCGCGATATATTTCGCGCTATCAACGCGTAAGCAGAGATTTAATCCGTCTTTGAAATAGCTCCAAATTAGTTGAAGGAATATTATTTGCCATAATTGATATAATAACAGGAAAGAAATCTATCACTTTGAACTTTATATGAACGTGCGGGGATGATTTTAACAAAAAATCTAAAATTTGAAGAAAAAATTCATTTCGCTTTATTTCATTCAATTTTTTTGTTATTACTGCTCCATAGACCTTAAAAGGCAGTCGGAACATTCAGGGCTGCGCCCTGATATGAGCAGTTTTGATGGCTTTTGCTAAATTTTGTCGGTTTTCTGTTCGTAATTTAATTTCAAGTTATCTACTTATCGATGTTTTTTCTTTGAGCTCACAAAGATCTGTCTAAGTTTCCATTGAGATGCATCCGTGAATAAGAGTTGCTTTTAAAATAACTTGATTGTATGTAGATTTTGATTTTGATCATTCGAACAAATCGGTAACAGCCTGCAAATAAAGTATTCTGCTGATAAACCATCCTTTGACCGAAAAATAATTCAGTAAAAAAAGTGTTTGTGGCAAATCTACAAAATTCAAAGAATAGAAACTATAAATAAACAACAAAAAAAAATCAAATTGTTTTTTATTCCGTTGTGTAAAGTTTTCATGGTAGAGATTCAGAAAGAAAATCCTCCGCAGCATACGCTCAAATGGATTCAAAAGTTGCTCAGACGTTTCTTTTTTTTTCGTTACATGCTTGTTTTTGTAACTAATTGATTTTTCCCAGCTATTGATTTTTTCATTCAAAAGTTTGCATACGTCATTCGTTTGATAGGTGTTTCAGTTTAAATGATGAAAAATAAATTTTACAGGAAAACTTTGTACTTTACGGGAAAAGGTGTACCATGCAGAGAGAGTCGGTATTGCATTACTGTCAGATTCTAATGCCAAAATTTTTGGATGCATTTTTTTGTTTTTCTTTCAACATCAATAAAAATGAAAAAATTGGT